AAATTTTACTGTATGTGCTTATTGCAAATGATGAATACATTTGTTCACATATTCCATGTTTTGTATATGACCATAGTCTCATCATCCTGGCATTAAGGACAATTAATACGTAATCAACCAGACCCTATGGAACACATTTACCTGCATCGCATATGTCAGAAAATGGATCTTGGCCAATGGATTGCCTTCCCGTCATGTCTGTGGAACACTAATCTATGTGACAGAGACTTTAGCCTTCCCCTTTGAGTCTGTTACACACTCACCCAGGGCATAGTGGATTTGGTCTTCCCATTGAGTCTGTGGCACACACACCCAGGGTACAGTGGATTTGGTCTTCCCATTGAGTCTGTGGCACACACACCCAGGGTACAGTCGATGTGGCCTTCCCATGGAGTCTGTGGTACACACACCCAGGGTACAGTGGATTTGGTCTTCCCATTGAGTCTGTGGCACACACACCCAGGGTACAGTGGATTTGGTCTTCCCATTGAGTCTGTGGCACACACACCCAGGGTACAGTCGATGTGGCCTTCCCATGGAGTCTGTGGTACACACACCCAGGGTACATTGGCTTTGGTCTTTCACTTAAGTCTGTGGCACACTCACTGAAGGTACAGTGAAGGTACAGTGGCTTTGGTCTCCCCTTTGAATCTGTGGCACACTCACCCAAGGTATAGTGTACACTCACCAAGGTTTGGGGACGACCAATTGGTTTCTACTTGGATCTACAATGTACTACCGATACTCATAAATGGCAGTAAGCTTCCATTTAATGTATATTTTTGATTTGATTTGAATATACATGTATAGATAACAAAATATAATACCTCTGCTTGTAATGTATAAGACTCTGATAAAATTGAGTTTGTTTTGAGAGATTGCAAGATTTAGAAGTCATTTCATGAAAACTAATCTTATTTTTATTTGTGCATCCAATTGTCTTGTCAGCCTTGTTGTGATGCAGTGCAGCAAATTGTCTTAGCAGCCACTAAGTGATTCCAGTGCATCAAATTGTCTTCAACAATTTGTTTTGGCAGCCACTTTGTGATTCTATTACAAGTAAAAAGTTGTTGAAGTCAAATCAAGTTTGGAATAACATTTCAGAATGCAACAAAGAATATGCATGACTAGGTTACATTAATAGTGGATGAAATTATGCTTTGCTACATTTTTTGACGGGTTTCCTCAAGTAATGCTTTGATATTGACTGGTTTCTCCAAGTAATGCTTTGATATTGACTGGTTTCACAAAGTAATTATTTGATATTGACTGGTTTCAGCAAGTAATGCTTTGATATTGACTGGTTTCTCCAAGTAATGCTTTAATATTGACTGGTTTCTCCAAGTAATGCTTTGATATTGACTGGTTTCACATCGTCTGAGAGTCTTGGACTTTGTATGTTGCTGTTGGTGTGAACATTTGTACAGTGTACCGTTATGTATTGACATCATGTAACATTAGCATATTGTTGTGTGATATCTTTTTTTATTTGATGTAATGTACGTATGTAATAAAAGGAAAAATTAAAGTACTAAATAAAAGGACAAATGTGATATTGTTGGTCGACATAAATCTAAGTAAATGTTAACCTAGACGTAATAAAGCTGTGTATAATTAGTCTAGAGTAAAAATAAATTAAACGGTGAGCACCAGTCAAACACTGCAACACCATATAAATCAGAATTACAAGGAAAGCAAACACAGGATAATTGAATTCCTAGTGGTTGCCATGGTCACCATGGATGCAGATAATGAAGTGTGATGGAATTTACTGATGATAAAAACTGATTGAATTTCCAGCTGATTTGTTAAAATACGTGAATGTCACATATTAGGAAATTTGGCGTATTTGTGCATGAATATTTGTACATATATTCCTGTCGTTTATTGAGGTCATGTGATGAAATGTTTTGTCACACACTTAGCAGTAGGATAAAGTCTCCCAGTATTCGTTGTGTTTTTTGTATCGTAGAGTAGTATCAGTTTATGCATGGGTGATAGGGTATTTGATGTTAATTTCACAACTGTCATTTCATGTTTCTCATCAAAAATAACTCATGAATTATTATGCAAATCACATTGTGTCTCTAGTCACTGTCTGTCGTTAAAAAAATATCTGTCTTTCTGACAAAAAAAATATCTGGGTTTCTGATTATCAAAGGCGACACATAAAATGGTAAATTTTTAGGTTTTTGTCAGAATTTTAGAAAGCACTTTATATAAAAAAGAAAAAAAAACACACAAAAAAAAAATTCACTTGAAACTGTCTGGGCAAATGAATAATAATGTGTATAGTACCATTTGAATGAGATTTTGAAATAAAAATACAATAACCAGGCACGCATATCAATTTTGGAAGACATATTGACTTTCTCTGGACCTTATGGAGAATCCTAATACTGGATCATTGAATACAGATATTCATCATGTGATTTAAATCTATCAGACTACCGTACAACTAAACCTCGTTGTCAGTTACAAAGTAGAATTACATTGTGAACAGCTAAATGTATATTACTCATCATACTTGCATGTCAGTAATGTGAACTGACATTGCATCTAAAAATAAAATCCTGTAGTCTTGAGAATAATCACTAACCTAATTGGCCTTCATTTGAATTATTACCTCCTAAGTTATCAAAAAAAACACCTACAAAATGTGACTCACCTTGCATCATACCCCAAATGTATATGTGTACACAGATATTTTTTTACCCATATACACTGTACATACTACATGTAATAAGATTTTAACACATCGTCTCCTGAAAACCACCATGGCTAACTGAAATGAAAATAACACAATCTGTCTGGCACAGGTTAATGTCAAAAATCTACCATTACATATTCAGATGTAACTTTCATTCACATTTACATTTCACATTTACATTGTACAATATTAATAACAATTGTGAGATGATGGGAACAAACAAACACTGTTCAACAGGCAGGACTTGATTTAGTTTCCACCGACAATTGTGTAACTTTTCAATTGAGAAATCAAATTTCTTCTGCCCAATGGTGCAATTTTATATTGTTGCCAATAAAGCAATGAGAGTTTCTCATTTTTGAACGACTATATTTTATGAAGATGTCATGTCTTTGACTTGTTATTTAGTAATTTCATGTATACAAGGCTTTTCCCAACTTTTGATGTGTTATATCTTTTGAAATATTTCATGAATATTTTAACTAATACAGTAGTAGTATCATATCATTCTGGTTGTCATGTGTGATGGCAAAATAAATAAAATCAGCAAATGTTTACTGTTATCATTATTATTCATTTCCACAAAACCATAATTAAAAAAAAAAAAAATGGCACTACATATATTTTTAAAAAGCAAATATTCCCAGACACTGTTTTTTTTTTCCTTGGACTTCATGAGTATTTATAATTGTCCAGACCAGATAATCAATAATTTCTAAATTGCACATAATTGAACAAGTGTCAGTGTAACCTGGTTTAATACTTGAACAGTAGTCATAGTGATGTATGAATTGGTTAATTAAATGAAGCATCATGTAATTACTACAAATTTGCAATCACAGCTCACTGTGTGCTTTTCATCTAGCACTAAGTGAATATCTTGATGGAGAGTGATTGCTAAGTGTGTATGCCTTGAACTGCACAGTGAGCTGTGGGCAGTGAAGGGATTAATTCAATGTAAAAAACCCATGAGCATGTGATATAAACACGTTTGAATTATTATTCTTTTCACAATCAAACGTCTGATAACATTACATTATGTTTGTATATTTAGTGGTCTCAAGAGACTGCAAACCGAAAATATTTTGCTAATTGCATTTATAATGTTGAGTTTCTACAGACTTTATTTTAACCTCCAGTGTAAAAACGAAAAGTTGACAGCTTTTTTGTGAGGACTCATCAAATTCATCTCTTTTTATTGAACAAAGATAAAATCAACCAAATTGTCGCTTAGAATTTTGTATTCAAATGAGGGATTGCACATTATGTAACTTTATTGAATTATTGATGAATAATTACATTTTTATGCATGTCATGTAAAAGCCTAGTGTGAATTCAAAAGTGTCTTTACATTACATAATGTATATATTACAAAATTACAAAAATACTAAAATTTGAATATTCAAAACAAGGTTGGTGATCTGTTTTTCAAAATAAAAAATGTTTGGTCTCAACACAATCCCATGAAGTTAAACAAATTGCAAATGTTTTAGTAAAACTGTTAATTGTTCAACATTCAGGCTCTGTTTTGATCAATATATATAAATATTTATTGATAAACTGAATTGTGGTTGGTGTGTTTCTCTCATATCACTGAGCCTGTTTAACCTTGTGTAATGGAGTGTGATCACCTTTTACCTTGGAGGCTCAAGTTTTTATTACTGAATATGTGGGTGTTCCATATCACTGTACATTAACCTTTTCACCACCTGTTCTCTTTTTCATCACAAAATAGTTCTGTTTATAGTCTGCACTTTCTGAAGATTGTGACAAAAATAGCCAAAACTTTTGAGTAAAAACTGAAAATTCACTCAAATTTTGTCTGTTGGCTCCAAAATTAGGGTTCATTTCCGGAAATATTGAAGAATATAAGAAAAAAGTGCAGAATAATTTGGGCAAGAAAGTATGGTAGTGAAAAGGTTGAAGAACCAGGTTTAACCTCTGTGCAAAAAGAAGTTATCATTTGAAGATTGTATTTTCTCATACTAATCCCTTGTAAGATCTGTAAGGGCTTTCAGATTTGAATTTAAGTCTAAGTGATAAAGACAAAAAATGTTTTATAAATTGGGATATTTTCTTTCCAACAACTAATATTGTGAACAAAATGTATTTGTTGTGGATGATGGATGGTTTACCAAATCACATAATATGACAGAGCTATCTCATTATGTTGCATATAAGTCTCATGCAATGCTACAATACTTTAAAATAGATACGTTTTTCACAATGACACGTCAAACATTAAAAAAAATATGAATTTATTAATTAAATATGTTCTTGTTTGTTGCAGGTTAATGTTCTTGTTGACACCGGCAGTAGTAATTTTGCTGTGGCATCTACACCTAATAGTTTTATCACAAGATTCTTCCAAAGAGAAGAGTAAGTTATGACACATGAATCTTTGATCAGTGTAGCCATGGTTACAATCTATCTACATTCTGTTCAAATGCCTTATAAGTAATTTTGTAAGGAACTTATATGCAATTCTTTGACATTTTGACTGATAATGAAAATATGGTAAAATTATATTAATAATAATTTAAAAATAGTTATATATTACAATGTTATGTTATAATATGAGGTTATTAAGAGAATACCTCAAAGTACTCAGACACTACAGCGGCAATATCAACCAATGCACAAGCATACTGTCTGAGTGTACTTGTAATAACCTTATTATTATACTTCTTTTCCTTCCAAGAATACATCATGGGAATGCCGAAATTTGAAAAGTTTAGAACAGAATCATTGAACTTCTTTGTGTGGAGTCCGGTCAAACTCTTGTGGCAGCCATGTTTGATTTTATTATTAGAGGACGCTTACGCGCGTAATCATTCCATATTTTTATATTTCATATATTTGTATTCACATTTCTCTATATGGTAGGATGAAAATACCCCGGAAAATACCGCAAAATTATGCTTTATTACTTTACGGTAACAGATGTATATTAATAAGTTATAATACAACTTACTAAATAATTCAAATACCCAGTATTTTATTATAATAGTTTAATAAAGCCAGTGTGAAGAAATTGAATAATTCTAGGCAATTTAATTCTGTGTGTGTGAAGATGGCAGATATTAAGTCTACTTAAAAACTGGACCCACACTGTGTGTGCAATGTTTTTATTTGGCCATAGGTTGCCAACTCAAACACCATCATGGAGACTGCTACATGTATGACAAAAAAAGTTGACATTTGAGATAGACCCCATGCAATATGCATATGGACAACCAGTGTGTCCTCTAACATACAGTGGTTTGTGAATATTGCGAGTCAAAAATAAAAAACAGAAATTTTAGTGAGTCGATTTAGAATTCAATGATTCATAGTAGCATTGCATAGTATGACTCCATGTTAGATTTATCAAGGGTGGTTGAGAGCCCGGTAGATGGTTAACATTTTTTAGAGAAGTCCAAATTACATCATTCTGGTTCTATTTATAGACAATTGAATCAATAAATTCATGCTTTATTTTCACAATTTCCATATGTTTGATGTTACCAAACCTTCGTTTTGAGAAAAATAAATATTTTGATGGCATCAATGATGTGGCAAAAATCACTTTTAGCGTCTGTGATGTGTCAAAACAACTTGAAAGCTGATAAACTCATGTTGAGACAATAATCCAATTCTTCATTAGTGCGATTGAAAACAGTGAACAACTTATTCATTTTTGTCATAGCAGGATCCATTGTGGTGTTTAAGTGGGTATTAAACAGTTGAATAAATGTTCCCTACTGTGTTTATAATATTTGAAAGCATGTAACATTTCTGCCCTACAATGCTGTTAAAACTTATGAACATCTGTTGTCTGGAGGCCATTTTGAAAAGTGGTTAGTACTCAGCTGTTATTAGATACAACACAATGTATCGTGACCTCAAGTTTGTAACAAACCTTTTTTAAAACCAGCTTTTTAAAAATCCTGGTATAAAAAATACTTTTGCCATTGAATTGCAGGTAAAGTCTGTCATTTTAATTATTTTTTGATTTTTCTTTATATGGTTATTTAGCATTGGCTGATTCAAAATATTAAAAAAATGTTTGTTTGTGAAGAATGAGTCAAAACCACTATGCTCACCTACAACTTGATTCTATCGTTTTACATACACAAAATCAAAGAAAATGTTAAAGTTGAGTGGACATTTTCTTTGTAAGCATTGCATGATTCAAAGATATGCTATCCGTATTATTGGGTTTCATAACTAGCTGGTAAGTGTTATACAGATGAAGTTAGACATGTCGCATTGAAATGAATGCTTATTACCCAACCTAAGAGACGTTGCACTGAATATAATTCTATTCCCTTTTTAGTTTGCCACAGTTGCCTGTCCCTGTATTCTCTAGTGTCTTTGGCCTTTTTGATTAAAGGACGGCAGTCGTCGTGTCGCATCCTGTTCGATATGGGACTCATAGCGACGTATACAACGCGTATAAAATACATTGTTTATTTACATGAAATTGGAACACGCGCTGCACAACGACCACCGCGCTTTAAGTATAACTAGAATCGATGGAGATTTCAAGGAAAATTTAAAATTGTTTGATTTGAGATTATCATAATTCTACATTAAAGTTACACACCATAACACTCATAAAAAGTGCTTGTGAAAAACTGAATAAATGCGTATATGCATGTATTCATTTATTGTGCAGTCATATGCAGCCAAATAAAGTCTAAAAATACTCATTGATTGAATGGTAATTACAGGGACTTTTACAGATACTGCATTGATTGAAGATGAAGGTATGAAGTGTTATTAGGTGTGAGACCTAAGCGAGGACAAAGCTTGTATTTTCCAATTAAAAATATGTTTTCTGACCATAACTTGATACTTCAATAATACCGTACTCTGCGTTGTTTGATAATTTCAGTTTGGAGTACGAGAAGTTCAATTAATCTTTTCTAATGGCTGTCAAGATTCCATTGAGAGCTAGAGGATCACATTCCCAGCAGCCATCTCTTCCATTATGTAACCATAGTTACCTAAGTCAGTCGAACATGATGACAACTAAAAATAGAACATTTCCTTGGTGGGCAAAAATACGTCACATGACTTTTGATTTAGACAAGATTTCGGCAGCAATTTTAGAATAAGGTCTCTTGCTTTAATGTCATATAGTAATATATATCGTGTATAAGCTAGTCATATAGTCCTATCATATATAAACCATATTCAAAATGACAAAAAAAGACACTTTGGCCCAGCAAAAATGACCATTGTTTTTTAAAACGTTTTTTTCCCCATTGTCTGTAAATTTTGATTATGATGTCAAAAACAATAATATAAAAAGTCAAAAGGTTTAAATTTATTGTGGAACATACTTCTTAACCAGAATATACATCTTAATCCATTTCCAATGGCTAGCAGATGCATGTACAACTACTACTACTGAGGGTGCTGTTTCTGTTTGACATGGGTCCCATGCAACAATTCTCATGTTTGTTTTTTGAAATGCTAGATGACGACCATTGCCTTTCAACTAAAGATGACCATGATTTTGATTGATGAATATAACTTGCATACATTGTTAGTTAAAATTGCATAATCATGCAAGTTTGTTCACTGTGCACCAACATATCGGTTATAAATTCTGCATATGACACTCACTTTATGTGTATCTAAAATTTTGTTTTACTTCAGCTCATCTACGTATGAAGATTTGGGAACATCAGTACATGTTCCTTACACTCAAGGTCGGTGGGATGGAGTCTTGGGGACAGATCTTGTTTCCATCGCAAGTGTATCAAATGCAACTGCACGTGTCAACATTGCAAGTATAACTGATTCTGAACATTTCTTTATTAATGGATCAAACTGGGAAGGAATTTTGGGATTGGCTTATGAAGAGATTTCCAGGGTGAGTCTTACAATGTACCATCTTGCTGGGCATCACATACCTACAGCAAGGCATCACATACTGTCAGCAAGATATCGTATACTGTCAGCAAGGCATCACATACTGTAGGCAAAGCATCACATACTATTAGCAAGGCATCACATATACTGTCAGCAAAGCATCACATATCACCAGCAAGGCATCACATATTACCAGCATGGCATCACATACTGTCAGCATGGCATCACATACTGTCAGCATGGCATCACATACTGTCAGCATGGCATCACATACTGTCAGCATGGCATCACATACTGTCAGCATGGCATCACATACTTTCAGCATGGCATCACATACTGTCAGCATGGCATCACATACTGTCAGCATGGCATCACATACTGTCAGCAAGGCATCACATACTGTCAGCATGGCATCACATACTGTCAGCATGGCATCACACACTGTCAGCATGGCATCACACACTATCAGCATGGCATCACATACTACATTGTATCAGCAAGGCATGAGATACTATCAGCAAGGCATCACATACTGTCAGCAAGGCATCACATACTGTCAGCAATACACCACATACTGTCAGCAAGGTATCACATACTGTCAGCATGGCATCACATACTGTCAGCAATGCACCACTTACTGTCAGCAAGGCACTTAATTCATCCCGAAACAGTGACTGCATGTATCTTTCCCTAATTTGGAGAATACTAATTTAGACAATCACTTGATATAAAACAATTTGTTGATAACCCAAGGATTTATGACGTCCGTGCTCATTTAGACAAACCCAATTCATTTTGAGGGTAGGTTGCCAATATTTGTAAAATATTCACCTTTACCTTAAAGTTTGTCATACAAAAAAAATGCAGGTCTAAATAGGTGATTGGAAGATATTTTTCTGATATTTCAACCTAATTTGCTCACACCTATAAAAAATTTTTTTTTTTTTTCAAAAATAAAATGTTGCTGTAATGAATACAAATTGAGAGAATATGTCCTGATATAGAAGTAGTTTCCATTTCAAAGAGAAACGTTTCTTGCTGACTGTAATATAAGTATATAATGTTCATGGTCAGCCTGAATATATTCAAAGGAAACATCTGTTACCATTGCTAGCATTTAGTCATGGTATAAAATAATGTTAATCCAGTGATATTCAGAAAAAATAAATTAATATCTGTTATTTGGACCTATAGAATAAATTTTATATTTGTTTAATGTAGAAAGACAGAAGTCAATAGAAAATAAATCACTGCTAAATAACTTTACCATAAATTTGGTTGAAGATTTTGGAAGAAAATTAAACATTCAATCGTAATTTTTTTGTCGATGAAAAAAATTACAACAAGGTAGCAAAGTCATCATGGTAACCAAAGCCAAAAAAGCTTAAACGCAATCGACCATTGGTTATTTTTGCAATAGGTAGCTCCACTACAGACATGTACAGCTGTTTGATATTGTTTTCATCTGTTTTTTTTAGCCGGATTCATCAGTGGTCCCGTTCTTTGATTCTTACGTTACAAGTAGCGGTATTGAC